TTCACTGACCCCCTGGCCCAGTCCTCAGCTCCAGCCCAGCACAGTTCCGGCTGCTTCCGCCTGGTCTGGATCTGTTCCCCATCAGAGGCCCCATTGGAGCTCTAGCCCTTCATCAGCCCAGATAAAAGAGATGGATGGGGGTGGCTTTGGGGGATGCCCCTCCTCATGAGCCAGAGGTAGAGCCCTGGGTTCTGACAAGGACTCCCTGAGGAGCACTAGGGGTGGGGGTGAAGACTGCTGAGCTCTCTGGAAGCCCAGTCCCTGCCCATCTCTATCCTTCCTCAGCCCTTCCCCTTTTCCTAAGGCCCAATTCCTAAGGCCTCCTCCAGGTAGGTGCCAGGACTGCAATCACCCCATTCTCCAGCACACCCACTTCAGCAGAAAGCCCTGCACTGTGCGCCCTGCCCCCATCTCCATGCGGAGCATCTGCCCAAAATAGCAATGCATAGAAAACTGACGTTCGTTGAACACCTATTTTGTTCCAGACACATTGTTTATAGATCTCTAATCCGCCAGGCGCGGTGGCTCAAGCCTGTAATCCCAGCACTTTGGGAGGCCGAGGCGGGTAGATCACAAGGTCGAGAGATCGAGACCAACCTGGTCAACATGGTGAAACTCCGTCTCTACTAAAAATACAAAAAATTAGCTGGGCATGGTGGCGCGTGCCTATAATCCCAGCTCCTCAGGAGGCTGAGGCAGGAGAATTGCCTGAACCCAGGAGGCGGAGGTTGCAGTGAGCCGAGATGGCGCCATTGCACTCCAGCCTGGGTAACAAGAGCAAAATTCCGTCTCAAAAAAAAAAAAAAAAAAAAAAAAAAAAAGATCTCTAATCCTTGTCACAACCCCCATGGAGTAAATTTTATCCCTGTATTGCAGAAGAGGACACAGAAGAAGGAAAGTTAAGAAACCTACCCAATGTGTGTGCACTTAAAGAGCAGTAGAACTGGCTGAGTGCGGTGGCTCATGCCTGCACTCCCAGTTACTGAAGATGCGGAGGACTGCTCCAGCTCCAGAGTTCAAGGGTGCAGCGATCGTGTCACTTTAGTCTGGGTGACAAAGCGACACACTGACTTAAGGAAAAAAAAAAATAAAAGGCACTAGAACTGAGGTTCAATCTCATACTGCAAAATCTCCTGTGCAAAGACTCACTATTACCTTTCAGAGATTACTCCCCCAACTCCCACTATTGCTCCCAGAATTTAACCCCTCTGAAGCCAAGGAGTTAGGCCCAGGAGAACTGTGGGGGCTTCTCCAGCCCTACTCCAGCTTTTGAGGTGGGGGGAGCAGGAAGCCACTGTCCCTAGAGTCCTCAACCCTTATCCTGGGAGACTCCATTACTTTTCTCCAACTGTCACCACTTCTTATGGTGTCTTTTCTCCTAGGGGACTCCAGGCCTCATTTCAGTACCTTCGAGTCCACCCCAAGATCCTCCCCACCAAGAGGATGGGTTGAGATTTGATTGTGGGGTAACTCTTGTCGCCACAACTGGATTTTCCTAATGGCTCACCCTGTCCAGAGAGCCTTCAGTTGCCCAAATGGCAGAGTAAATGCCAAACCCAAATCCAGGCCAGGCACAGTGGCATGTGCCTGTCGTCCCAGCCACTCGGGAGACTGAGGCACAAGGAAGGTCTCTTGAGCCCAGGACCTCAAGTCCAGTCTGGACAGCAGAGCAAGACCCTGCCTCTAAAAAGAAATCAATCAGAAAAATAAATCCAGGCCAGGAACTAGCTTGCAGTTTTAGCACACTCCCCCTACCTCACTCCCTAACCAGTGAGGACACAGCCCAGGGATGTAAGACTCAACGCTGGGGAAAATAAGAGGCCCTGAAGAAAGGAGAAAAAGGTAGCGAAGAGGCAGAAACCCTGGTGGTCCAGCAAGGGAGGGTAAGAAGGGAGGGGAGAGGTATGACTATTACCATAGACCAGGCGTCCCCAAACTTTTTACACAGGGGGCCAGTTCACTGTCCCTCAGACCGCTGGAGGGCCGCCACATACTCTGCCCCTCTCACTGACCACCAATGAAAGAGGTGCCCCTTCCTGAAGTGTGGCAGGGGTCCGGATAAATGGCCTCAGGGGGCCGCATGCGGCCCGCGGGGCCGTAGTTTGGGGACACCTGCCATAGACCAAGGGGTAGGGTGGCGCCTGGAGACTCCCAGACTTGACTGCATCTGGAAAGCATCTAGCAAAAGCAGGCAAAGGAAGAAATGATTCAGAAGCACCTTCCCACTTAAGCCCTAGAAGTCTGTATATGTGTTGGTGGAATGGGTGGATATTCTGTGACCTTTTCCATGTCTATGCCCCACCCTTGTTTTAAACCCTTGGGTTGAGCCCAAATTGGAAGCTGGTAATGGCAGCTGGGTGGGCAATGACCCAGGTGGCTGGGACAAGGCTTCATGGGACGCTGGTGTTGTGAGCCCTGCCCCACCTCACCCACCACTTAAGTGAGTCACCTAAACCAGGCCAGGCCCTGGAGTTAGCTCTCCTCCTCTGCCCCCAGCACATCTGGGAGCCAGCTTGAGCAGAGAGAGGACTAAACTGGGGCCCAGCTTGGGGAAGGGAGGTGGGGGTGGGGAGGGAGAAATGACTCCCGGAGATGGTTTCCAGGCTCCACCCCCAGATGTGTGTATCCCTGCCCCCAGAGCCTCTATCTCTGCCCTGGCCCCACTCCAACTCCATTCCCAATCCCAACCTCATCACTCACCTCTGCCCCTTCTCTATCCCACCACCCCACCCCTCCCCAAGTGTCCTCAAACCACCCCCCCATTATCCGCAAGTGACTCCCAGAGCTCACTGCCTCCCAGATCCCTCCAGTCTCTAAAAGCCCTCATCACTGCCCTCAGAGAACCTGGCCCCTTACCCCCAGCCTCCTAGACCCCACTTCCACTCTTCCACAGCACTGAGCAGAGGCAAGACTTGATGTGAGTTAACCGTTCCTTATCACACGTGGACTTACACAGCTGTTCCTGGTTTAGAAAGAATTCAGTCAGCTGGGTGCAGTGGCTCATGCCTGTAATCCCAGCAGTTTGGGAGGCCGAGGCGGGCAGATCATGAGGTCAGGAGTTCGAGACCAGCCTGACCAACATAGTGAAACCCTGTCTCTACTAAAAATGCAAAAAATTAGCCAGGCATGGTGGTGGGCGCCTGTAGTCCCAGCTACTCGGGAGGCTGAGGCAGGAGAATCATTTGAACCCAGGAAGCGGAGGTTGCAGTGAGTTGAGGTTGCGCCATTGCACCCCACCCTGGGCAACAAGAGTGATACTCCATCTCAAAAAAAAAAGAAGGAAACAAATTCAGTCATTCAGAAGGCTGAGGAAATAACCAAAGTGCATCCTTGGAGGCAACAGGCCTATGTCTCTAGCTTCTTTCCCTCTGACCTCAGCTGCCTGCACGGTCAGAATAGGGCTCCAGGTGATAGGACCTGTGATTGAGTAAAAAACCAAGGAATCGCCAGGCCTACCAGAGTTTAAGCCTATCTACTCCTTATGCATATACCTATTAGACAGTATTACATGTGCATGTGCACATAATCCTGGAAATATAAACATACACAATTAATGTAAGTATACATACACACATCTTAGACAGAATGTAAGTTCCATGAGGGCAAGAACAATTTTTTTAAGGCTCTGTCACCCAGGCTGGAGTGGTGCAATCATAGCTCACTGCAGCCTTGAACTCCTAGCTCAAGCAATCCTCCTCCCTCAGCTACCAGAGTACCTAGGATTACAGGCATGTGCCATCACACGAAGCCAGGAGTTTAAAATTTTTTTTTTTTTTTTGAGACGGAGTTTCGCTCTTGTTACCCAGGCTGGAGTGCAATGGCACGATCTCGGCTCACTGCAACCTCCGCCTCCTGGGTTCAGGCAATTCTCCTGCCTCAGCCTCCTGAGTAGCTGGGATTACAGGCACGTGCCACCATGCCCAGCTAAATTTTTTGTATTTTTAGTAGAGGTGGGGTTTCACCATGTTCACCGGGATGGTCTCGATCTCTTGACCTCGTGATCCACCCACCTCCGCCTCCCAAAGTGCTGGGATTACAGGCTTGAGCCACCGCGCCCGGCCTAAAATTTTTTTTTATAGAGATGGGGCTTCACTATTTTACTCAGGCTGGTCTCAAACTCCTGGGATCAAGTGATCCTCCCACCTCAGCCTCCCAAAGTGCTGAGGTTACAGGCAATTTTTTCCCCATGATGTAGCCCCAGTGCTGGTATGTAACAAATATTTGTAGAAAGAATGACACAGCCAGGCATCATGGCTCATGCCTGTAATTCCTAGCTACTCAGAAGGCTGAGGCAGAAGAATCACCTGAGCCCAGGAGTTTGGGGCTGCAGTGAGCTATGAACGTGCCACAGTATTCCAGCCTGGGTGACAGAGCAAGATCCTGTCTCTAAAAAACAAAGAATGACACATAATAGAATATATACTTGAAAATAAATGTCTATATATACATATAACAATACATCCATATATACTTTTGCATACACATACATACATACAAAACCTACATGTAGGCTGGGCGTGGTGGCTCACTCCTGTAATCCCAGCACTTTGGGAGGCCAAGGCAGGCAGGTCACTGGAGGGCAGGAGTTCGAGACCAGCCTGGCCAACATAGTGAAACCTCATCTCTACTAAAAATACAAAAAATTAGCAGGGCATGGTGGCATGCACCTATAATCCCAGCTACTTGGGAGGCTGAGGCAGAAGAATTGCATGAACCCAGGAGGCAGAGGTTGCAATGATCTGAGATAGCACAACTGCAATCCAGCCTGGGCAACACAGTGAGACTGCATCTCAAAAAAAAAAGCCTACATGTATAATATATCCACATACATATATATGCATTTAAATAACCCACATACATATTGTGACATGTATACATACAATGCACATGTAACTATGAATATATTCGATGTTTGTTACATGTAGATATCACACACAGATAGCATAGTAATATATGCTATACATACATGTGCACATTCATATAGATTAAATGAATACAAATTGAAGCATCTTTTTTTTTTTTTTTAACTCAGATTTTTCCAGACCAAGTAAATTGTCTCAAGGTCCCTGGCACAGGTCTGAGTGTCACTAACACAATGATCCACCAGATAGCGCTCCTTCCCCACTTCCTGTACTTCCAAGTGTTGCCGGAGATGTCGCCTATTTCCGCTAAAACTCGCAGAGCCAGGAGTTCCCCGGGCGCTTCCCCGCACGCCACCGCCCGCGCCCTCCCCCCAGCCCCCACCAGCGTGGTGAGCGTGTCCTCGGTCCCCAGGGTCTGCAGTCTTGGCGCTCTCTGGGTCGGGTTCATCTTTCCGGCTTTCAGGCATGTTTTTGAGGGTCGCTCTCCGGCTTCGAGCTCCAGTTCTGCTCAGTGCGCACAGCGACCCCCGGTCACCAGAGCCCCAGGGGCTGGGCTTCGCTCGGACACCCTCGGTTACGCAGCACGGCTGCGCAACCCTTCTTTGGCGCCTTCGCGGTGACAAGCATCCAGACGAAGCGGCCCGCCTCCTCACGACAGCCCGAGGAGGTAACTCGAGGAGGTCATTTGCAGACAGCCCCCTCTGGCTTCCTCTTCACCCCCTGCCCTAGGTGGAGGAGAGGCACACACGCAGCCCGGCTCAGCTAAAAGCTGGGCTAAGGGCCGGGCTGAGACCTGGAAGCCTAGGCTTGGCAGGGGCTGGTCCGAGGAACCCTTCCTGCCCCAGTTGGTCCTGGCTCCGGATAGGAGCCAGAAGAAAGCGCATTCCAGGGATTTCAAGCGGACTGTACTTAAAATCTCGGAGTGGGGGAAGCAGGGTGCGACTGAGCCTCTCCCGCCTTCAGGCCTGGGCAACTCTGGGTTGGAGCTCCTGGAGCCTCACATCTCGGGTGTGAGCAACCTAGGACACAGAACGCGGGGATGGCTTGGAAGCCCGTGGGGAGGCGAAGCCGGGAGTTCTGGCAGCGGCTCAGCCTCCCATCCTCCTCGTTCCCCCTCCTCTTTCCTCCCCCGGGAGCAGCAGGAAATTATTTATTAAAACGCCGCCCGCGCTCTCATTTATTTGCGGTGAATAATCCTCGGCATCTCAGCACGTTTATTAAACCTTTCCCGTCCCCGCGCCCGCATTACTTTAATAATAAATCGCGTGTCACTTTCCAGCGACGTTATTAAAGCGGGTCCGCTGCAGCAGAGGCGGGGTGCGGGGAGGGTGGGGGCGGTGGGCAACAGTTCTCCTATTCCAGGCTGCAGGGCTTGAACCAGCACGGCGGTGGGGGGGGGGGGGGCGGGCGGCGGCGGGGAACTGAGGCTGCCAGGAGGCTGCTCCTGAACACCTACAAAGTCGGCTAACGCGATCTAGAAGTACGGATTCCCCTGGGACCTGCGTGACCCTCTCCGGAGGGGTGGGGCTTTTGGCGAGGAGCCTCCGCTCTGCAGGTGAGCGAGGTGGGAGCTATGGGCCCTCAGAGGGCGCCTTGGAGCCCAGTTGGGCGAAGAGCAAAGTAGGGGGCAGATTACCCGGTTGATGCTGGGACTTACACCCACGTCCCCTCTTTCAGCGCCCAGAGGATTCTGGCCACGACGCCGAACAGCACGCCCCACCCCCGCCTACCCCTCTGCTCCTGCTTCGGTGGTCGCCCTGGAATCGGCTACTGGTATCCAACCCGCTTGCGCTGTTGCGCGGCTCCTGGGGCCGCCCGGCTCCAGCCCGGGTTCGGCAATAAAATCTGTCCCTGGCTCAGGGATGCGGGCAAAGCAGCAGTAGACAGAGTAGTGCGTAGCCGCAGGAGGGGCGGCCAGGCAAGCCCTTGGGTTGGAGTTCCGGACCACGCCTCTCCCAGGAGACCGGGCTCCCTGCGTTCGGCCCCAGAGGACAAACTGTGACGCGGATCCAAGGGCAGGCCCTCCCGTAGTGGGGCCAAGATCCTGGTGGAGCCCTGGCATATAGGAGGCCGTCGTTATCCACACACAGCGTCTCCCCCTCCGCTGACTTACACTTTCATTCTCTCCTTCAATCATTAAATAAACATTGAATCTCACCAGTGTCCCTGGGCTAGGTGAGGAGAAGAGAAAAGAGACTTGGGGAGCCCAAGAATGTGGTTCTGGAAGGGACCCCAAGCCAGATAGGACAGGTCACAATTGGGACAAATAGGAAACAGGCTTACTCTGGCTCTGGGTTCTTCAGGGAAATGAGTAGATGCCTATGGGAGCTGGGGAAGGGTATGGACCACACAGGTGACCAAACTTCTGCTCCCCTCTATCCAGTTTATGCTTTCATTTTGGGGGGCTATCCACACAGGCCTGATTCTCCATTCTGCCTGGGGAAGTGTTCTGCGTAAGATGAGCACAGAAGCAGGTAACTATACCAGCCCCAATGGAGGGCAGACTGGGATTATGCCTTCCCTCCAACCAGATGGCCCCACCTCCCTCCCTCAAAGGCAGGGTAGGCCCAAGTTCAAGCCGTCTTTCTGTACATCTGGCAGGCATGTGCTTAGAGAACAGGCCCTGTCGCTTCTGGAAGCCAGAGTTCTGCTAGTGTGGAAGGCCTCCTAGGGATATTCCATTTTCATGTGCACAACTGCATAAACTGTGTGCATCTGTGTGGCCCGGTTCATTAGAAATCTTTATTGGTGCCTAGGCCTGTGCTAGGCTTTGCCCAGTACAGAGTGGTATAAGATCTGGAGCTGGCCTCACCCATCTCTCTGCGCTGAACTAAGCCATGCTCCGCTGCACTCTCTCCTGTACAAAAGACAGCAGACAGCAAAGAGGACTGCAGTTAGTAGGTGCAACTGGGGCTTAGGAGAGAGGGAAAAGTTCTGGAAGATGACTTTGGGGAAAGGGTAAACAAGCTAGGTAAATGCTGGGGACCAGGAAAGAGCAAGAACCAGGGCCTGGGAGGAAGAGCAGTTAGAAGAGTGGCTAAGCAGTGCTGGAAGAAGTGGAGGATCCTGGTGCCTGCACCTCTTGTGTCTGCTCCAGCCCCCACCCCAGCCTGGGGAACAGCCTGTTGGAGGTCCTACTGGCCAGGGCATCTCCTGCATGGGCTCCTTTGTACCCCACAGCTCCTGGTCTCAGCCTCTCTCCCTATCTTCCTCCAGCTTTCTCCCCTACCACCCTGCTACCTTGGAGTCAAGTAGGCCTCCCATGATCACCCCTACTGAGAGCATGAAAGCAGTCCATGAAGGGACGCTGCTCCCCTTTCCAGGCATTTTCAAGAGCAGGGATGAACACTAGAAGCTCTTACCCACCCCCAAGGGCCAGAGCTCTGGATCTAGTAGTAATCACTCTCTTCACTTTCAGCCTCCTCCTCAGGAACCAGGTTTAGTGATCGCAGCTGGGGGATTCCTGTAGCGTTGAGCTGATCTGCAAACACAGGTGGACAAAAGATAGAGAACAGGAGAGAGGGGCTGTCATTGCCCACATAGCTCAGTCTGCAGAAGGCTATGCTTGTGTATGCACCCACAGGCACACAGACACATGGATTGCTTCATACGCATTCACAGCTGGAATCCAGAACCATCCCCCCCAACCCCCAGAGCTCAGGGATCCCCTTACCAGGTGTGAGCACTGTCAAGCTAGCAGGGGCCTCCACCTGACCCAGGGCATTGCGGGCAAGGCAGCGGTAGGTGCCCTCGTCGCTGGGACGCACAGCCTGGATCTGCAGCCAGCCAGTCACCTCAAACCTCTGGGGTCCACCCCTAAACTGGAGCCAGGCAAGGAATCAGCAGGGTCCTTCTGGAGGGCCCTGGGCTGCCTGAGGGAAGCCTCTCCCACCGGTGTCTACCTGCACGGAGATGTGGGGGTCATCTCCTGGCAGCTGGATGTCCAGGCCATCTTTCCTCCACTCAATGGAGGCCATGGGGTAGGCAAACACCTCACAGCCAAAGATCACATCCTGCCCTGTCACATTCCAAGTGTCATAAGGATGCGACATGATCTGGGGCCCTGGGGGTAAAGGTGGAAGGTCTAAGAACAGCATGGCCCAGCAAAGGCATCTGGTCCGGCAAAGACATGATACACAAATTTTTGTGGACGTGCTTGTGGCAGAACACAATATATGCTGAGTTAAATACATCCATAAACACACCATGACACACACAAGTACACACAGATGTGGATGCTGGTACATACAAGGGTCCCATGCAGATGCAGAGATATACATGCACATGTGCACACAGAACCTTATGCAGACGCAATGCACAAACAAGCGCACACACCCTACACTGTATCTTGGCAGCCACTCTGTCCCCAACTGCTCCCCTGTCCTCATTCCACCCTCCCCAGCCTTTCCTGCAGTGCCAGTAACCAACACCTCCAGGCCCCCCTTCCCCCTTTTCTAAACAGGCCCAGTTCCCAAAGGCCGGAAGAGCAGCCGCGCCTTCCACCACACCCCCTGGGGGTGTCCGCCGGCAAGGCCGAGAAGCTGAAGCTGAACTTTCCAGACAGGCAGGAAGCCTGCAGGAGAGGAGGAAATTGTTGGGACCCTGCAGAGTGTTTGTTTTCTGGCTGCCCCAGCCGAAGCCAGACCCAGAGCCCGGGCTCAGGAAGTGAAAGTTACTAAAGCTGCCAAGGAAAACTAGAGGCCTGAATGTCCCCCAGTCCCCGGGGATAGACAGAGAGAACTAGCTGAGCTCCCTGCTCCCATTCACTGATCCCTAAACGCAGGAGAAAAGAGAGGGGTGGGGAGACTGGGTGAACAGACTGCTCTAAGAATCTGCCCAAATGAAACGTGATTGCATCTCACAGGAACCCGTCTTGCTGCCTGGACTCCACTGGTCTGGGAAAAGTGTTAGGGTCTCGGAGCCAACCATAGGCTATGTGCCAGCACCCTCAGAGGACCTGTCCCTCCCTGCCAGCCAGCTCTGGAGCTTTCACGTTGTTCAGCGCATACAGCTTGCTGACAAAGCCTGGGACCCCCACTCCACTCCATCCCCCACCCCCACCTTCAGGAGGCAGCTTCTATGGACCAGTAGTGAGAGCACGGTTTTATACTGGACTCAAGACCTCTACGGCCTTATCTTTTTTGCTCTGCTGGCCAGAGACCAATGTCGTTTGTGGTCGGGGAGCAGTGTCTCCAGGAAGCTTAAGGGTTGGGGGTGGAGGCCCCGGGTCGTTCGTACCCGATTCGCAGGGCCCCGGGTGTGCCACAGTGAGGTTGGCATCGGGCCGAGCTCGGGCTACCTCCTGCAGGCGGCAGATCTGGGCGTAGGTGTGACCGTCGGACCCGCAGAGCGGGTGCTGCGAGCGACAGGCACACAGCGGTTCTGGCACCTCTCCACGGCTCAGGTCGCCGCCTGTGTCCAGCCGGCACTCAAGCTCCTCGCCGCAGCCCCCGTAGAAGTGAGCATTGGGGTCAAGGTCGCAGAGCTGGCCCTCGAGGTTGGCGCATTCCCAGCAGCAGCCGCACGGGTCGCGCACCAAGCCCGCCAGGCAGCCCCGCGGCGCGGCGCACTCCTCTGGCCGGCAGGGAGCGCAGCCCTCGCCCTCCGCTAGCAGCCGCAGCCAGCCGCGCCGCAGGTAATCGGGGCCTGGGGACGGCCTTGCGCCGGTCGGGGGTGGCGTCCGCACCGCCAGCAGTAGCAGGAGCAAAGGCAGCGCCAAGGCAGCTGTGGGCAGCGGCGGCATAGTTAGCTGGAAGCCCTGAGAACACTCGGAGCATCAGCGCGTTCTCAGCACCCTGCCAGGAAGGGAAGCCAGGTCAGGAGGTCAGAAACAGGGCCTGTGCCCAAAGACTAACCTCACAGCTTCTTATACCAAAGCATGACGCTAGCATCGCCCCCTTCCCTGCTACCAAGTAGACTCCCCCAACACAAAGGCCTAGTGACCCTCTAGGGATTATCCAGTTGTGGCAGTTGGCAATCAACTGGGCTGTTGGGGGGGGCGGGCTGGGAATGAAGAGAGGTGAGGAAGGGTGATAAGGCTCAGGAGCGCGCATGCACACCCACCGCCAGCACCACTTCTGTTCACCCTCCGACTCCGATGCCCCTGAGCATCCTTGCCCAAAGAGAATCGACGGCTCCAGAAGAAGCTGTTAATGTGTGGTGGGAACTGATGCCCACTTGTGTATGGCCTGGGGCGCAGGGTGCTCACCTAGTGTCCTGGACTACGCCCTTCGGAGAAGCTATGATTCGAGTCCGAAAGAGAAGATGGAAAGAAAGCAGGGGTGCAGTCAGCCGGGCCCGCCAGCCACCTCTGCTCCGGCCTGAGGACTTCTGAGAGAGCCCACGGACTTGGATTCAGAAAGCAGCTCCTCCGCACCCCCCTCTCTCCGCCCCTCGATGTCGCACACCCGCCTTCCCACTAGTTCTAAGGCTGCCAATTTTATTCAGCCGCAAGGGACCCTCCCGGGCCATTTCCCCCAGCCTGGCCCAAAGTCACAATGCAAGCAGAGGAGCCGTAACCAGACACCGAGGCTAGGAGAGAGGAAGGGGATGAGGACTGGAGGCGGGGAGTGGGGGTAGGAGTTTGGCTGGGAAGCTCAAAGCGTTGGGTGAACCGCTAGGCCCTGTCGCATCTAATTTTACAGTCCCTGGCGTCGGCGAGGGCAACTGCATTAAGGGGAGGCGGCAGGAGCTCTGGTGCCAAGTCACTTTACGTCGATGTCGGGGCGCTCTTGGAGGGCAGGACCAACCAACTTCGTCTCCCCGCAGCCCAGGGCTGGTTGCCGGGAGCGACGGCAGGCTTGCCCACCCAGGGGCCCTACGGAGGCGCGGACAGAGTGGGCGCCTATATCTGACTTCCCTCATCTGGCCTCCTCCTTCCTCCCCACATCTGGCAGGTGCTGCGACCCGCGAGTGAGCCGGGTGATTTGAGGTCGGAGGCGACCAGCGGCCGCAGGGAGAGGCGGGCTGGCGCCTCCCCGGCTGGCGTCCCTCAGGTCCGGATTACAGGTTATGATTGCGAGGCTGGCAGGGCCGGAGGCACCCCGCCACCGTGGCACTTTGGGACGGAGATGTGAGCATTCCTAGGGACCCGCCCACCAAACCCGGGTCGGCCAGGCCCCGCCCCGGCCGGTCCCGCGCGGCTCACTAAAGCTGCGGCGCAGTCCAGCTCGCAGGGGGCGGAGAATGCAATCTGCTGCTGGCGAGGGGGCGGCACTCTTACTCAGGCTCCGCCCACAAGGCCAGCCTGCGGCCCCCGCCAGCCTGCGCGAGATCGGCTCCGCATGCGCACTGGAGTCCCGGTGGTCTAGCCTGGACTCTTTGGGGAGCGCTCCTGAGGTTGGCCAAGCCCTTTCGGGCTGACGAGCCACGCAGGCGCCATCCTTGGCCAGAGGGGTTTTGAGGATGTGGGCAAGGGCAGATATTCTCTCCCAGTCTCCAATTCGAAAGAGGGACGAGAAGGGAACTTCACGCGGGGTCTCGCAAGTGTCGCGAGAATCAGAACAGGAACTCTAGGAACCAAGAACGCCAAGAGCCCGCGGATTTTAAACAGGAAAAAGAAAGGGCGGAGCCAGCTCTGGCCTGTAGTTGTGAGTAATCCCTGGTCCTTGGCCTTCAAGGCAACTGAAGTGTCGACCTAGGGCAGAAGGGTAACTATCAGAGAGCTGCTGGAAACCCTGAAAAAAGGCCAGAGACGGGGACTTCTGGGGCTGACGAATGCAGTTACCCAAGGAGAGGTCTCTGGGGACGGAGTTCCTTGGGTAACTGGAGCTACAGAACAGAAGCAAGTTCGGGATCTCTTAATGAATTGCTCCCGGCTTCTAAGACCTGGAGCCGATATTTCAACAACAAAGTCCACAGACATAGAAACTCTTCACTTTTCCCACTATTGTAGCTGGTTGCTTAATTTCAGTCTTTGCTATGCTCTAAGCTTCTGGTAGTAGGAATCGTGCCTAACTCACTACTGTATTTTGTGAACCTAGCCCCGTGCCTGGTGGCATAGCAAATTCTTGGTAAATATTTGTGGATTAAATGTGAGTGAGACTGCCTGAATGTTTAACCTGGATTTTCTGAGTCGTTAATGGAGAACAGCAGACAGGGAACCAGCGCCCTCTGGTGGGTTTATGGTTAGTGACGAGAACATCCTTGAACCATGCATCCAGGTAGGTACAAATATAATAAAAGAGGATCTGCTGTTATTAAGTAGCGGTTTTGTTCCAGTAAAACCCCAAATACGGCCGGGCGCGGTGGCTCACGCCTGTAATCCCAGCACTTTGGGAGACCGAGGCAGACGGATCAGCTGAGTTTGGGAGTTCGAGACCAGCCTGGCCACTGCTGGTCCAGCCTGGGCGACAGAGCAAGACCCTGTCTCCAAAAACTAAAAATAAAAAATAGAATTTTAAAAATAAAAGAACGAACAGGGTCCTATACAGATGAACAACAGAAAATGAAACGGAACATACAGAGTCATTGTGTAACTTGGTTAAAAAAAAAAAAAAAAGAAAGAAATTAGCCGGGCGCGGTGGCTCAAGCCTGTAATCCCAGCACTTTGGGAGGCCGAGGTGGGTGGATCATGAGGTCAAGAGATCGAGACCATCCTGGTCAACATGGTGAAACTCCGTCTCTACTAAAAATACAAAAAATTAGCTGGGCATGGTGGTGCGTGCCTGTAATCCCAGCTACTTAGGAGGCTGAGGCAGGAGAATTGCCTGAACCCAGGAGGCGGAGGTTGCGGTGAGCCGAGATCGTGCCATTGCACTCCAGCCTGGGTAACGAGAGTGAAACTCTCAAGGCCGGGCGCGGTGGCTCACGCCTGTAATCCCAGCACTTTGGGAGGCCGAGGCAGGTGGATCATGAAGTCAAGAAATCGAGACCATCCTGGCCAACACGGTGAAACCCTGTCTCTACTAAAAATACAAAAATTAGCTGGGCATGGTGGCGCACGCCTGTAATCCCAGCTACTCGGGAGGCTGAGGCAGGAGAATTGCTTGAACCCAGGAGGCGGAGGTTGCGTTGAGCCGAGATCGCGCCATTGCACTCCTGCCTGGGTAACAAAAGTGAAACTCCGTCTCAAAAAAAAAAAAAAAAAAAAAGCCGGGCGCGGTGGCTCAAGCCTATAATCCCAGCACTTTGGGAGGCTGAGGCGGGCGGATCACGAGGTCGAGAGATCGAGACCATCCTGGTCAACATGGTGAAACCCCGTCTCTACTAAAAATACAAAAAGTTAGCTGGGCATGGTGGTGCGTGCCTGTAATCCCAGCTACTCAGGAGGCTGAGGCAGGAGAATTGCCTGAACCCGGGAGGCGGAGGTTGCGGTGAGCCGAGATCGCGCCATTGCACTCCAGCCTGGGTAACAAGAGCGAAACTCCGTCTTAAAAAAAAAAAAAAAAAAAAGAGAGTGAAACTCTCTCAAAAAAAAAAAAAAAAAGAAAAGAAAAGAAATTAAAGGATCCACATATTTTAACTTGCTACTTCATGAACTCTGTTTTGAAACAGCTGGTGAAAATAGTAGAGTTGCAGCTCTGAGGAAGAAGCAGGAGTGAAACAGACGGTCCATACTGACCTTTTAGAGATGGATACAGAGGAATTGTGCTTCCTTTGAAGATTAGAATTGGTTAAGTCAAGAAAAGCTCAACATAGATGATTCAAGTGGAATACTTTGTAGCTACCTACTGGGACAAATAGGTGAACTCAAAGAAAATAATGTATGTAGTTAAAAAAAAAAAAAAAAAAAAAGGTGAAAAATACCTGTGGAAAAATAAGGTTAAGAGAAAAGGAGGGCCTGGTGTGGTGGCTCACGCCTGTAATCCCAGCACTTTGGGAGGCCAAGGTATGCCCTTCACCTGAGGTCATGAGTTCAAGACCAGCCTGACCAACATGGAGAAACCCCGTCTCTACTAATAATACAAAAGTTAGCTGGGTGTGGTGGTGCATGCCTGTAGTCCCAGCTGCTTGGGAGGCTGAGACAAAAGAATTGCTTGAACCCAGGAGGAGGAACTTGCAGTGAGCCGAGATCACACCATGCATGCCAGCCTGGGCAACAGAGCAAAAATCCATCTCAAAAAAAGAAAGAAAAAGGAAAAACGTCATTCAGCTACAAGTAATATTACAAGATGAAAACTGGACTAGCCAGGAACTGGCTCTCGAATACCTCGGCATTAAGGCAAGTTGAATAAGCTTCAAGACATCTAGAATCACTTGAACCCCAGAGATGGAGGTTGCAGTGAGCCGAGATCACACCATTGTACTCCACCTGGGGCAACAAAAGTGAAACTCCATCTAAAAAGAGAGAGAGAGAGAGAGAGAGAAAAGAAGTATATGGATACCGATCACAACTGTATATATATTTATCATCTATATCATCAATAAACACCCTAAGAGAATTTGGAATGAGGCTGACTAATGGTTGAGTGTAATACTCACTACTCCTTTATTTTGTAAGGTTATTATTATTATTATTTGAGATGGAGACTAGCTTTGTCACCCAGGCTGGAGTGCAGTGATGCAACCTCGGCCTCCCAGGTTCAAGCGATTCTCCTGTCTCAGCTTCCTGAGTAGCCGCCAGCTTATTTATTTATTTATTTATTTAAGTAGAGACAGGGTGTTGCCACATTGGCCAGGCTGATCTTGAATTCCTGGCCTCAAGTGATCTGCCCACCTCAGCTACCCAGTAGAGACTATTTTTATATGTAAATTAGAATGTCAAGATAAATGTAGCAAAGTTGGGACAGCCAGGTAGAAAGGTTGGCTGGGTGCGGTGGTTTATGCCTATAATTCCAGCACTTTGGGAGGCCAAGGTGGGTGGATCACCTGAGGTCAGGAGTTTGAGACCAGCCTCGGCAACATGGCAAAACCCCGTCTCTACTAAATATACAAAAATTATCCAGGCATGGTGGCATGTGCCTATAATCCCAGCTACTTGGGAGGCTGAGACAAAAGAATTGCTTGAACCCAGGAGGAGGAACTTGCAGTGAGCCGAGATCACACCATGCATGCCAGCCTGGGCAACAGAGCAAAAATCCATCTCAAAAAAAGAAAAAAAAAAAAAAGAAAGAAAAAGGAAAAACGTAATTCAGCTACAAGTAATATTACAAAATGAAAACTGGACTAGCCAGGAACTGGCTCTTGAATACCTCGGCATTAAGGCAAGTTGAATAAGCTTCAAGACATCTAGAAGGAATCAGTCCTTGGTATACCTTTCTGTATCTCAGAAGGCAACCCCTTCCTCCCCATGCCCACCTTCAGTATCCCATTGACCATTGAGATGGCAACTGTAGCTTCATCCAACCTGATGACTTGGCCAAATGTTGTATTGATAAACTTAGAAAAGATGCTTAAATCATTCTACATGTAGATTATTTCTACATTTCTTTTTCTTTTCTTTTTTTTGAGACAGAATTTTACTCTTGTGGCCCAGGCTGGAGTGCAATGGCACGATCTTGGCTCACTGCAACCTCCACCCGCCCTAGATAACTTTTTTTTT